TTTCGAAGGTGTAAATTAAGATTCGAGAGAACTTTTAGGGTACAATCTGTGATAATCCTAACAAATATCCTTACAATTGATAATTTGTAGCAGCATTTAGCTCTTTATCAGTCCTAAAATTTGAACATTTTCAAACAATGTCCAACATTAATGTTTCCTTCCTATTTTCTTGATTGCTCTTGTGGGTTTATGTTCGATTTTATTGGGTGTCGATCTTTGATGTCCTCCCTGCATTTTTTGTCCTTTTCTTTGAAAATTTGGAGATTACAAGTCCAAGAAAGATTACCAGAATGTTTTTATCTCAATTTAAAAGAATGGTGTTGGGTCGGCCTGAGGTATTCTTCTACCTTGCATCATTTACAAAATTGCGGATTACTTTGTTTCAACATGTAAAACCTCATTTTTCTAACATACTGAAAATGTTGGTTGGTTCACAGATTGCTGGTTTAGGACTGTATGCAACCATTGATTTAGAGAAGGCACAGGTCGGGCGAACTAGAAAGATTAAAAATCAAAGTTCCAACCCTCGGTGGAATGAGTCCTTTCATGTTTACTGTGCCCACATGGTTTCTAGTATCATATTCACAGTAAAAGAAGATAATCTTGTTGGGGCAACATTAATTGGACGAGCTTATTTGCCTGTTCAGGAAGTTTTAAATGGCCAAGTAATCGAAAAATGGCTCGAAATATTGGATGAAGATCATAAACCTATTCCTGGAGGCTCTAGAATGCATATCAACCTACAGTTTTTCAATATAAACCAAGATAGTAATTGGTCTCAAGGAATCAAAAGTCCTACATTTGGAGGAGTCCCTTACACATTCTTCAAGCAAAGACAAGGTTGCCAAATCACACTGTATCAAGATGCCCATGTTCCGGGTGATGGATTTCCCATGTTTCTTAGTTCAGAAGGCCCGCGTTACGAGCCCCGAAGATGTTGGGAGGACATCTTTGATGCAATCAGCAATGCCAAACATTTGATTTATATAACTGGATGGTCGGTTTACACTAAAATCTCCTTGGTAAGGGATCCAACGATGCCCAAGCCAGGAGGAGAGATCATACTTGGTGAACTGTTGATAAATAAGGCAGATAAGGGGGTGAATGTCCTTATGCTTGTTTGGGATGATAGAACTTCAGTGGAGGCACTGAAGAAGGATGGTTTGATGGCTACACATGACAAAGAGACTAGAGATTACTTCCAAAACACAAAAGTTCATTGTGTGTTGTGTCCACGTAATCCAGATGATGGAAAGAGCATATTTCAGGGACTCAAGGTTTCCACCATGTTCACTCACCATCAGAAGACGATAATTGTGGACAGTGAAATTCCGGGAGGAAGATCACAGAAGAGGAGGATTGTGAGTTTTGTAGGTGGCATTGATCTTTGTGACGGGCGATATGATACTCTAGATCATCCCCTTTTTAGTACTTTGGACACCGTTCATCATGATGATTTCTATCAGCCAAACTTTTTAGGCTCTTCAATCAGAAAAGGTGGTCCCAGGGAGCCCTGGCATGATATTCATTGCCGCTTAGAAGGACCAGTTGCTTGGGATGTCCTGTATAATTTTGAGCAAAGGTGGAAGAAACAAGTTGGAGATAAGTATATTTTTCCTGTAACTGAACTTGATAAATTCATTATTCGCCCTTCGCCTGTTACAACATCACAGGACCTCGAAACATGGAACGTTCAAATATTTCGATCAATTGATGGTGGGGCAGTTTCTGGCTTCCCAGAAAAACCTGCTGCTGCAGTAGGCCTTGTTAACGGGAAAGATAACATCATTGATCGAAGCATCCAGGATGCTTACATCCATGCCATTCGCCGAGCAAAGAACTTTATTTACATCGAAAATCAGTATTTTGTGGGCAGCTCGTACAATTGGAAATCAGACGATATTAAGGTTGAGGACATTGGTGCATTGCATCTCATACCAAAGGAGCTTTCTTTGAAAATTGTTAGCAAAATTGAAGCAGGAGAGAGGTTCACTGTCTACATTGTAATTCCAATGTGGCCAGAGGGTATACCTGAGAGCGGTTCTGTTCAAGCAATTTTAGACTGGCAAAAGAGGACAATGGAGATGATGTACACAGATATTGCTCAAGCCTTGAGTGCTAAGGGACTCACTGCAAACCTTAGGGACTACTTGACTTTTTTCTGTCTCGGGAATCGTGAGGGCCAGAAGATGGGAGAATACACACCTCCAGAGAAACCAGATCCTGATACTGATTATAGCAGAGCTCAGCAGGCGCGTCGCTTCATGATCTATGTTCATGCAAATATGATGATAGGTAAGTATACAAATCTCTCAAAATGTTTGCATGTGCACACTGCCATTAAGTTAATTAAGAACTAAAAAATTATGACAAGAAAAATACTTCATGATGGAGTTTGATAAGATCTAATACTAAGTTTTAAAATTCTGCTCTATTTTTTCTTTGTTTTTTCTTTTGTAGTTGATGATGAATACATAATCATCGGATCAGCGAACATCAACCAAAGATCAATGGATGGTGCCAGGGACTCCGAGATTGCAATGGGAGCCTATCAACCCCATCATTTAGCAACTACAAAACCAGCCAGGGGTAGAATATTCAATTTTCGTCTATCCTTATGGGGTGAGCATATGAGCATGGTGCCCGACATCTTTGTGCACCCAGAGAGTTTGGATTGTGTCCAGTTTGTTAATCGAATTGCTGATGAAAATTGGAAGTTTTACTCAACTGATACATACATCGGCAATCTTCTTGTCCATCTCCTTCGCTACCCCGTTGAAATCTCTAGCAATGGAATGATTGGTACATTGCCAGGGATTGAATTTTTTCCAGACACCAATGCCAAAATCCTTGGCACCAGGTCAGAAGATCTTCCATCAGTCCTCACTACTTAAGGCACTGTTCTAGTTACTGTCGTAGTGGTGTTAATGTTTGTAATTCTATAAGCAACTATTAACCACTTGTTTGTGTTACCTAGTAATGAACAGTCTTGTTAGCATTTGGAGGTTTATTTTATGTATTCACGTTTCCACATTTCTATGAGACCCAACCCATCTTAATGCTCTCAAATGATTATGCATGAAGAGATGATTTGGCATCTGGAGATTCTATTGATAGATAGATGGATTAAAACTCCGAAATTAGATTTGATCAGAGTAATGGATTTGTTTGAAGTGTCGTATCACAACATTTCATGCCAAAATTTACTGAACTCAAATTGGAACCATTTGTTTGTGTGAATATTTGGGTTTGTGTCATGTTATCTGATATGGATCATCGAGAATTCGACAAGTATCGTATCCGGAATGTCATCAACAAAGAGCTAATACTTGAATTGTTCATTCATTAATTGGTGATCTTGTAGTCAGTTGAATTTGTGGAAGGGCTTTGTGAAGATAAAGTTGGTGAATTATGAGAGATAAAGCTGGTGAATTATTCATTTTGATTGATTGTTGAATTTGACTATTTTACATACATTTGTTTATCTAATGGGTTTGTGTGTCAGATTGAGGGGTGTAAGCATGAATCGATCAATTAATTGACAAATGAATGAATTAGGTTATTAATTAGGCGTAATTTCTACAAAAAGGAGTGCTTAAGACCTATTAACCCTACTCTAGGTCTACCTAGGTAGACTCCACAAGCGTTTTGGGGCGATCCAACTCGCACTCTCAATTAGTATCAAAGCATCAGTACCCCGAGAAGCACTTTGTATGTATTTCTGAGAGTTTTGACCTAGTTTGTGTTTGCTTGAGGTTCTTCATAACAATGAGTTTGTTATTGATGGATACCCAATGAGAAGGTGGCTCAATATCAAGACCTCTTTTGTTTGATGGAACCAACTATGTCTATTGAAAGGCTAGAATGAGAGCATTCTTTAAGTTCATCCATGAGTATGAGTGTTGAACACCCAATGGGGATGGAAACCTCCTACCGAGACCACTGAGGCAGGCGAGATTGCAAAACCTTGTTAACAAATAGACAAGGATGATTGGGGTGAGTGGTTAGAACTCGAAATGATCGAATGTGATATTCAATGTCATGTCTCCAAATGAGTTCCAGAGAATCTGTACGTGTGAGACTTCCAAAGAAGTATGAGGTGAAAAGTCTTATTTGTGACACCCATATAGTTTGTGTCTGACCCAACATAGTGCTTGCCATTGTTCATTCTTCTTTGAAGTCGCAAAATGAGAGTGAGGCAGTAAGGATCCCTCAGTGGCATCAGGCCATGTCTGAGGAATTGCCAGTCTTGCAGAAGATGCGTTTATTACCTTATTAGATATAGAGCGGTTGCAAACCTCTTCTTGACGGAAAGACCATTATTGAGGAAAATTCAGACTCACTTTTGGTATCGATTATGAGAAGACTTTTGTTCCTTCGTTCCCATTCATTCCCACTCAAATTAAAGCATCAGCCTTATGGTAGACGTCTATGGGATCAGTTTCATTGCTTTCTCTCCTCCGTGCATCCAACTCCTCAGAAATTCTGTGGAGTTCCATAGTATTGTTCTCTTGAGTTAGAGAGGATTTTGCTGACCAGGCCCTCCTTTCTACTCTATTTCTATTTTATTCACTAGTTCTAATGTTGCCATTTCTACTTATTGTTTTTCCCAATTTATTATAGGCGATGCCAGATATTGGTTGAGCTCGGGGAATCGGAAATAGACGCATACGAAGGAGAATTCACCCTATATAGACGCCTTTTTAGAGGCTTTCCATGAGGGAACAAGTGTTGCAAAGAAGTCCAAACGTCGAAGGTTGATTTCTCAATTTGAGGCACTTAGGATGAAGCAAAGTGAGACCTTCACTAAATTCTATGCACGACTTGGTGACATAGTAAATTCATCTTTCCCCGTACGAAAGAAGTATAATGATATGGTCTAGCTTTAGAAGATATTGAGATATTTACCAGAGAGATTTCAATCTAAGGTCACCACCATAAAGATAGCAAAGAAACCTTATAGAGTTTGGGCGATGAGTTTGGATATCGGGAACTTACCAATGGCATGTTGTACGTTTGTTTTTTTCTGATAAGATGCGAATGTTATTTTTTTAATTTACAGGACATAAGAAAATTTTTCACTAAACACATGGTTAATGAGAATCTGGGTACGATTTGCAATGTTCATGTGGTTCACGCTGACCTCAGTGAATATGGAGCATTGGATGAGAAGTGCATCAAATTGGCAGAGCTTGTTGCCACAGCAGTTGATTTCCCCAAAACTGGAAAGATTGTCACCATGCCATTTGAACTCAAACCGAAAATGTATCCCTATTTTATGGAGAAAGAGGAATTTCAGTCATACAAGTCAGAAAAAATTTTGGGCAAGCTATACCGCCAAGTCATAGATGCTAATGACAAAGAAGTGGTAGAGCTAAAATTTGTTCCTCAAGACATTCTTTATGATGCAGACCTTTACATCCCCGGATCCACAAATTTCATTACCGATGCGTGGAGCCATAAGTGCTCCTATGGTGGGCAGCTAAATGGACTTGTGGGACTGTATAAAGTGGGCAGAGAGGAAGAGATTGTGACTGGGCACATTTGGTCCCTGCCATAGTATAGTAGCAACAAGCAAGGGCAGCTGAAAGAAAGACTCAAACATGCTTACAGTGCCCTCAGGAAAGCGTTCAGGAAAGTTTTTGAGAAAATGGACTCAGATTTCGATCAACTTTCTGATGACGAGAAGCATGCCATTTATGAACAAAAGGCATCAGCATGGTATCAAGTCACTTATCATCCTAGTTGGGGGAAGAAGTCAACGGAGTTGCAAGAGCCAGATGGGGATATGGCAGAACGGCTCAAGGCAATTTGAGGGCTAAAACGATAATTTATTTTGAAGCCTTTTTAGTGTTAAAAATTTTGATTATAATTAATTTTTTCATTTTTTGAGTTTTAAAAGTATAAATTGAGTTTTTATATTTAAATTTTATTATCATATTTTTTTTTCATTGATAATATCGCTAATCTAATTATTTTTTCTTGTGGTAGTCAATTTTAAATAAGATTTTATCGATTTTAATTTTGGGAAACTTCTTTTTGTAGAAGTAACTATTACAAAAATTAATAAAAATATTCTATAAGAAATGCATACATTTGAAGAAAAAAAATCTAATGTTTTTATATAAATTGGTGTCTCAATTGAAGTATTTTCTTTCATTTATAAAATTTGCTTTAAAATATTTTATTTTTAAAATAAATCTAAACGATCAATGTTAAAAAAATTGTTATGTATTAAGAAACATCCGAAATCAAGATAATTTTTTTAAAACTATTAACATTTAATAATTTTATTTTTTAAGTTAAATTAATAATTAAAAATTTTTTTTATTTGAAATTGATATGAAGAGTGAGAATAAAAATGAGAGGGAGGGGCTTTATAGAGAGAGAAAGAGAGAGAGAGAGGGAGAGAGGAGATGTGGTTAATAAAAGATATGTAAATTATGACATGACTTTTGAGTATATCATCAATTTTTTTTAATAAAATTTTGATTTTTTTGGTTTTTATTATTATGGGATGAATCATGGGTTTAAAAAATTATTAAAATTAAATTTTTTGATTGACCTTAAATTTTAACTAAGACTTTTTTGTAGAACTTATAATTTTTCATGGACTTAAAATTATAAAGTGGACCACCTATTTAGCTAAAATTAAGGGGCTTTCCTAAAATTATTGGGCCTAAAGCCCAAGCTTTTTTGCTTCTATAGTTGGGCCAGGCCGGGGATGTGGAGACAGTAATGTTGAGCTTTGCTTGGATAACAGTTGATTACCTTTCCCGGATCAAAATTAGGTGTGGCGGAGATGGAAATGCTGACCTCACTAAGCCAATCAATGCTTTTGTGAGGTACGTTGCTGATCGGATATGACGGAGACGGATAATCAAAGTTGTTTGAAGTTTTCTTCTATCGTTGCTTCAAACTTTTCTGGACACGACGTTATGGTTGCTTTTGAACTTTCTGGCCTCAAGGCCACTCTGCCATGTTCTATTAATACCCTTGCCTCTGTATGCTTGTAGTGTTTTGCCTATTCATGCTATAAACTATGTATCTGTATTGTTATAAACATAATGTTGAAAATGTTGTACTTTTGCTTGCAATTCTTGGCTTGAATATCGTTAGCATTAACTTTTAAATCTATTTTCAATTTGTGGCAACTGGTGCATGAATATGGGAGTATTTGAATGAGTTTCACAGTCAAATACAACACCTTTGAAATCCAAAATGAGACAACTACTCAGTGAATGGTGTTTTGTTGGGTTCTTTCGTCCATGAAGGCATTAATGAGTGAGAGACTCACTTGTATACAATGGGTTTTACTTGAATGCATGGTTGATAATATGTAAAAAAAATAAAATTTGAAGAGAAAGTGTACTGAAGCGGATCTCATTCTATGAAAATATCCCAAATTCCCATCAGGATTAGGAGGGGACATTGCGCCACCGAAAAAAATTTGATACTGTTTATTATTTTTTTACCTGATTCACGTACCATTTTTTAGACACATTTATTATATTTTTGGGTGAATTTTATCACTTTTTTTAATAGAAAAAAACTAGTTACTTTTTGAAGTTTTTTCTCTTTTTGCTGTAGTACCAAAAAATAAAATTGTAGTACCCTAACATTTCCTTGGAAAATGATATGGATAGTCTTCTTATATCATGTTTAGGAAATGGTGTTCCCACAACCCCATCATCTTTACAATTCATTCACTCGTCGGTATAGTACCGAAAAATGATGGGTGGATACCATTTTATTACTCCATGAGTAATTTTACTGTACCTTTTTTTTTATATAAATGGCGTCCCCAAACCCATAAAGACATTATAAAAATATAACTGATCAAACCAGTCAAGGTGTTTCTTAAGCATCTGATTTCATATGCTTAATTTAAGAATGGTGTTTCTTATTTATTTATTTTTTTGTTTATATCATCAATTTTCATATTCTAGTGAAACCAAATCAAGCTTGATTTTACCAAACCCAAGTTCGAACCTTAGCATCAAAAAATAACATAAGAATCGATCCAGTGGCGAAGCTAGAAATATATTCTAGGGTGAACACGTTCTAACTATAAGTTTTAATTTGTTTTCTAATAGGCAAAAATAATTTGATATATTTTTATTTTTTTTCATCATATTTAATAATTAAAGATTGATTAAATATAGATGAACCAAAAGCAAATATACAATAACTATGCAAACCAAAAAAAAAAATGAAAAGAGGTTAATTATAACCCTTTAAAAAAATAAGGTTGATTGTGTAAGATATGTGATCAAATATCATTGACAAAGTTATAACTAGTAATATCAATACCAAGTTTGAAAGTTGCGGTGTGCGACACTTTACTGATTCCTAGTGCTTTCTTTGTTTTTTTTTTTGATAAATTGTGCTTTCTTTGTTTTAGTGTTTTAATGGAGAACTTGAAAATGTAGAGCTAGTTGTGTGTATATTATTGTTACACTATTCTCGATACACTATTATTGATATACTGTTCTAACAGTGTGTAAATTCACTATCCATTAAATATTAAATATTAGGTAGTTTTCAAGTGGACAAATAAAATATCCCAAATTCATTGTAGACCAAAATTGTAACGCCCCAAATACCCCCTCGGACGGCATGACATTCTAAAACCTTTCATAGTCATGAGAGCACTAAATAAATCCATAAATAAGAAATTTTTATCCATCAACCATTGATATTTTAACAAAATTCGGGCAGAGTCTCCTTTGTACGGGGAGCTCTACCACAAAATCCAACCTGTGCAATTCTACTATAATGACCACACCGGGTCCAATTAACTACTATATAATCAATCCATCAAATTTACATGTTAACCCAAAAAAATATGCCCACAATGGCATGTACATTCCCAAAGAATTAAACTATGATAAGCAGCGGAATTTCAAAAGATAACTAGACTTTACAATCTTTCAAAAAAACATAGCCTAGTCTAGAACAAAATAGAAGGGCCGCTCTAGGCGTCCACCTCGGGATCTACGCTCCCGTCGATCGGAGTCTCCCAAAGAACGGGCTCCTCGACTCCTGGCTCCTCCTCAAGGATATAGTCTGAAAAATGTTAACAGTAGGGGATGAGCACTAGGCTCTGTAGCAAAATCTTCCCAACTCCAACAAGGTTTATAAAATACAAAACGGGTCGGTCACATTTCATAAATAACATATATGAATTTGAAGTAAAACGGGACATTTTAAATAGATCTCAAGTTTAAGTCATACAGTAGTTAAGGAGAGAAATAAATTAAGTTTAACCATAGCAAACCATTTCCAACATTAAGTCAATTAGGAGGGGCTCCCTCCGATGCATCGTCCCATACCAATGCACCGGCCAAGCCATTCCAGCCAATCATCACATTTATGTTGGTTCATCCCCGTACCATGTATGTTGATTGTTTCTCATGAATCTACCCAACGATTATACCTAGTCCACCCATTTATAATCACAATCACAAGTGCTTAGGGAAGGGGCGTCTACCATCCCAATGGCAGTGACGAGTCCCTCCCCAGGAATGGTATACCAACCCTAGTTCGAACTCCAGGCGTACGATAGTGGTCGCATTACCAAATGACAACTCACTACAAGTGCAAGAAACCATCTCCCCCCCCACTGGGTTCAACTGACATTTACACTCTACGGCATATCTCGTAGGTAATCTAAGTCCCTCCCAACCACCATACAATGAGTAAACCAACATATTCTCAATCAATTCACATTTTACCAATTAATCGCAAAATACCCAAATTTCACAAGTAAAGCGTCATAGCAAGATGGAATTAAAATGAGCAAAAGATCAATATAAAGATCATTTTCGTTGAACAATATCGAACACTAAATTTATAAAGTGAGAACCAAGGCAATATATGGAGAAAACTCAATTTTTCTTAAAACCAAGTTTGGAAGATGAAAAAGAGAAATTTAATGGTTACCAAACCATCCCATTATTCAAACATAGCATTTATTACAAGGAGAATTAAGAATCATACAAATCATATCAATAAATATGGATGGGAGTGGAAAACATATGTATATACATAAACCCTAGCCTCAATGTAAGAAATTAGGAAGAAATCCCCTACCTCTTGGTTGTAGCTTCAATCTAAGACCCAAGATTCAAAATCTTCCTATTCTCCTTCCTTTTCCTCTTAATTTCGTCCTCCTAGGGTTTCTAGAGATTTGGGTGTGAGTGGTTGAGGAATAGAAGCAAAAGAAATGGGTGGAGAAGAGAAAACTTGAGAAATTCGGTTTTGGTCTTTATGAGGTGGGAATCTCTCTTGACCTTGGTGTTTTTCTCTCCCTTTTCTCTTCTCTTAGGGCTCTAAGGTATTTAGAGTGGAAGGGAAATGAAGAATGGGAGAAATAGGGCTTGGAATGGGTGTTTTAAAACCCAAAAATCCCGACTTTTACTGTTCATCGTCTGTTTTGGGGGTTTTCCAGACTTACTGTTTTCCTTATTTTTGATCATGATAAACTTTGAATCTGAAAAAATACAAAACATGAAAGTTGTAGATCTAGATGTCTTCTGAATTGTGTCAAAAGTTCAGCTCAATCGGACCATTGTAGCAAGAGTTATGACGATTTTACGACAACTGGTCCGGAGTAGGCAATGTACCCGGAGCAGCGCCCCAGCGCCCATTTGGGCGCCCCTTTTCACTTCCAATCCTTCCAACTTTAATCCTAACTTATCCTACATACTTTTCTACATCGACCTAATTAGTTCAAGTTCTTTTATGATTTATTTTGTACATTTTCATACCGAAACTAATCTTTTAACTACTCTTTCCTTGAGTTATACTATTTTATCATTTCAAATGAAATAATTACTGAACACCTATGTCTTTTATTTTTTTTTATTTTATTTAAACGCATGTGGGGTATTACAAAAATGACACAATTCCTCATATTTATTGTTTTCATATTAAGCCATGACAAGCTTTTAAAGGTCGGAGGTTGCACCAAGTCAGCTACCAAGCATACTCTAGCTTTGTGTATATACACTTCCTAACATGTGCTATTTAATACTTGAATTACCATAGCAATCCGTGTGTGACCACAACTAAAACTCTTTGGAGATGTGCGATTTTGGCCATTTGGCTGGAAACAATTACAAGAACTTCTGAGACTATGTTTGGAGAAAGATATTGTTACATTGTTCACTGTCATTGATACACTCTTCCAATAGTGTATAAATTCACTTTACAGTGCCAATGTGGGTTGCATATAGAGTAATCCATCAAATGTTAGACCAAAAAAAAAGCATATAATTTAAAATGTGAAAACATCACTAAAACAGACAAGCCCAAAAAAGGATTGTAAAAACAAATTGCGCAAAACTTAAAACAGTGAACAATGTCATTAAATAATAGCTTTACTAAGTTTACAACGGCTCGTTACAAGATTTCTTGTTGTGACTGTCTAAGCACCCACACCAGCCACAACGAATTCGTCTAATGTGTTTCCTCCTGAATTTTGCTATTCTTTGGTCTACCAGGTTGTTTCTTAGAATATGGAGGCAAAATATTAACATCTTCCTGCGAAATTTCAACACAATATATAGTTGAGATTGGAAAAATAGGTTCAGAATATGACTTCTGGTATGTGCTCACATGATAATAGTAATCAACAAATTCAAATATATTCTGCCCCACTTTTTGTATTGCCGACACAACATGTGAACAAGGAAACCTATTTATTTGTCACTGACAATATGAAAATTTGTCATTCACAATATCAACTATCACCAAAGCATATGCCATCACTTCGTACACTTGGTTATTTGAGACTCGTATAGTCCAGGACCTCCCCTCATCAAATGTAGCTTGTAATCTCGAAGACATATTGGGACATAAAT